AAAAGACAAAATACAGCATGAGATTGAACAACGATTTCCAGTTATGCAATCTGATTTGGCTGAAATCGATTAGACAAAATAGGCATTCCCATCTGGCTGAATAGCAAAAGGTAACGCAATGAACCGAAAGTGCCCGGCTGAGAGCAAATTAAAGAATTATTGTTATTATTTATTTATTTTAATTAGAACTGTGGGTGTCCCGTTAAAGATTCAGCTTTCGATTAACCAAAAACAAAACCAGTCATTATTAGGGGACTTGTTAAGAAACTTCTCAGATTTCTGGAGATTGGTTTTAAAAATAGTTGAGCTAAATAAGCTTATAGCCAAGTTCATTTGTATGCATGAGCAACGTGCAGTCTCACACGACAGAGTAGAAAATGCCACTAACTAACAAAATAAAGGCTCCCTCTGCAAAAAATAACAGATAAACATTCTAAACCATAAAATTAGAAACTAACCTTGCAAGTTCTACAAGCTCCTTGAAGGAAAGACGATAGACCAAAGCCGATACCTCTGGAAGCCATAGCCATGTTCAACTCTTGACCTGGGAGCCTGTCATGCTTGATTTCAGCGGATACAGATTGTACCGCAAGAGACTGGAAACAAGCGCCTTGCAAGATAAGCAGAACGAACGCTGGAAGACGTCGATGATTTTTGTCCTGCTCTTGGTAGTGGATTGCTCGTCGTAAAAGGTAAATAACATTCTTACTTTAATGAATTATTATATTTAAGTGTTAAGCTACGTCCTGATGAGCTTCAATCTTTCATTTGGTGTGTTTTCTACACAATTCTCTCGCGATCGTTTAATCGTTCTCTCTAGCATGTTTTACAGAAACGTGCAAAGTTTTTGTTTCCTTTAAATCTTAACTCTTCTGTGTCTGTTTTTTAGATCATGATCATTCCAATTCGCTGCTTCACTTGCGGAAAAGTTATTGGAAACAAGTGGGAAGCTTACCTGGGATTTCTTCAAGCAGAATACACAGAAGGGTGAGCAAAATAAAGTTGGGTATCCAATGTCAGACAATTCGCCCCCCAGACAATTAGCCCCCGACAACTATCCCCCACATTATTAGATTCGAATTGCGAACTGGGCTGGCTGTTGGGGGCGAATCCTCTCGGGGGCGAAATGTCTGACGTTCTAAAGTTGCTTAGGAGTTGGCTTTGTGCTTTATTGAGAGAAATATAGAAGATATCTTAGGAGCTGGCTGCATGGTATGGTGGAGATGTGATTTACCAGTGACACCTACCCTTCGAAGCCAAAGATTGATTGTGGTGTTTGATGAAGCAGGGTTTAAAGAGAAACTTCAGACCTAAGGAATTACAATTATTATTTGATAAATATGTTTAAAATTACTTTTTCATCAGCACTTGTTCATTGGATACAGAAAAGAACTTTCCAAATGTTCATGCAACTTTTCCATCACTCATCCAAAGTAATCCAGCTAGCAAGAAAGTAATAAAAGGAATACTTGAATTTGCTTCATTTTGCAAGCTCAATAAAATGATTTTATTTGCACTACTGTCGATTTCCAACTTGCACAGCATGTTTGGAAAGTCTGAAAAAATAACTGAACAGGACGTCTGTTGGTGACAGAAAATATAGGTAGAAAAAGAAAAAGAAAAAGAACGCAAAAGGCTTACAGTCAAAAAAAAATTGCCATGCATTGAACTATCGAAATGGAAAACGTTATGCCAGAGGGAGCATACTTTGTATTTAGCCGACTGCGCCACGGTGACCTTCACTGATTCAGGACTTACGAGATTTACAGTAGCTTGCTTGTGACTTGGCCTGGTAGATATCTTTATAGATCTGGGGTTAATTTAATAAAGCTTTTACAAGTGTAATTTACAAGTGTAGCTATTGTTTTCAGACTCTAAAACAATGGCAACACTTGTAAGTTGCAGATGTAAAAGTTTTATTAAATTGACCCCTGGTCCCAGCTGTTCAAAAGGTGGATAGTGCTATCCACTGGATAAATCACTATCTATTGGATTGCGCAATTGGTTTCCCTGATACTCCGGTGGTTAGCAATATCCAGCTCAAATCCTTCTACACAGGTGAGGGCCAGAACAAGGATTTTGGCCGTGTTTCACAGACAGACTTAACCAGAGTTAAGTTTCATCTGTGGTGCAGGCTAGCCCAGTGACTATTGTAAGCTGAGCTTTGTAATCTTTATTTGAAAAACTGTGTATTTTTTGCAGAGATGCTTTGGATGCGCTTGGACTAAAGAGATACTGTTGCAGAAGAATGCTTCTTTCACATGTGGACTTAATTGAAAAACTGTTGAACTATGCACCGCTTGAGAAATAGACTAAGGATCTTAAGAAACACATTGAGACTAGAAAATAAATTTTTTTTTCGTCAAA